TTACTCCTTTGAAAGAATTTGTATATTACTTAAGTTTGAGAAGCACTGATTTATTGTTTTTATTACTGAGAGATCTGGTTGGGTCAGTTTGCTAATAGCCGGTAGCTAGTATTGGGCAGTAGGGAATGCCCAATAGGGCAGTTTCATGCCAAGAGAGATAATCTTCCTGTTGTCCCCCCCAATAGGTGGTACTGGTCCTTGGTCCAAACTATACCTTGCACCAAGTAGTAGGGCCAATTTCACTGTACCTTCATTCACAGACTTTGTTGTTGTTGTTGTTGTTATTTGCCGTCGAGTCAGCCCCGACTCATAGCGACCCCTCCTTGGGTTTCCGAGGCAGTTATCACTACGGAAGTAGGATTGCCCAACCTTCCTTCCGAGGAGTGGCTGGTGGGTTTGAACCGCCAGCCTTCTGGTTAGCAGTCAAGTGCCTTAGGCACTATGCTACCAGAGCTCCCCATTCACAGACTAAGGTAACTTTATACAGTAAGGACTGGTGTGGACCACATTCATCAGCAATAGAATCTGGGGAAAACAGCACTTGGATCTTCAAATCACAATGACCATTAATTTCCTGACTTTGTTGGTATTAAATTTAAAGGCAAAGCAAGTTGTGGGAAGTGCTTTGAGATTCCTATATGGAAATTAAGTATTTCCATCACATTTTCATTTATCTCTTTGAGTAACAAGACTCCCTAATATATTGATTGGTCACCACAAATTGAAATAAAGATAAAAATAAGTTGGTCCCAAATGTATATCCATTCAAAGAAACATGGCTTGCTGTTTTACCATGTGAAGGTTTATTATCCTTGGGCAATTATTGAACATTTTTACACCAGCATTCATAAATGTATACACATGTAAATTTTTACAGTATATGTGGGCAAATTTTAGGCAAATGCAATGCATATATTTACAATGATATGAGCAATAAAATGCTTAAGATTGTAAAGTCTATCTAAACTCTAATAAAAATATGCAATGCTTGGGAAACTGATCCAATGCAATTCAGTTTGGAATTACATTATTAACTTTGACATGCAACTAGAGGGAACATACTAGATGCAGATAGTGGGAGTAACAGATTTACATCTAGGTTATTTACTCTACATCCACTGATATTCATTCCTTTGCCATGTCCATAAGACCCTGGTCACCCAAACCCCAATGTCAGTAGATGCACTTGCCTTGCTCTGTGATGTCACTGTCTCCCAGAACCCCAGACCAACAAGGGCATCTGAAGGGGCTAGAACAGGCCAGACCAAGAGACCTTTAACAATGTGCTTGTGTGACAGGGAGAAAGGGATTGGGCAAATTGATTGTATCCACAGGTGATGGCTTGCTCCTCCTTGGTCAATAACTTTGAAAATTCCTTCCTGCCTTTGGTTTCCCTGACCTGCCCCCTTTCCTTGTTCCTATTACCACTTGCCTCATTACTGCTCGCTTTTATTTTTTTCTTTCTTTCTTCTTCCTGTTTCAGTTTAAGCATTCTCCAGTTTCTAGCCTCTCTTCTTAACACCTTCCCTGCTGCAAACTAAGAACTCTTAACTTTTAACTAATACTATTATCACACATAAAATATTAAAATTAATTTCTTAATATTGTTAAAATCCAATCAGTGCTCAAATTGCAATTATCTCACTACTGTGATGGTGCTTTTCTTTCCCCCCCACAACTTGTTTTTGAATCAGGATCCAAATAACATTCCCTTTGTGTGATTTGTTATGTCTCTCTTCATTAATAGTTTCTTCACTTCTTTTTCTTCTCTTCTTTGCAATGTATTTGTTGAGGAAACCAGGTGACTTCTTCTGTGGAGCTCCTCCCAGTCCAGATTTTGCTCAGCGCATCCTGTGATGGAACTTACCACATTCCTCTGTCTTCTGCTCTCTCTTGATCAGATTCAGGGATAATTTTTTTTTTTTTTTTTTAGGCAAAACAACTTCATCAGTGTTGTGTGGTATGTTCTTCCAACAGAAGGTAAATAATGTCTTTTGGTGTCTCCTTTTAAGATATTAGTCTCATTAGATATTCAATACCTAAATCTACTAATTCATTCAGAGTTCAAAATATTGATATTCTATCATTACTTCTTTGTTTATTAGTGAGAAAACATCTGAAAAGACAAAACATTTCTTAATCTATTATTTAGTTACCTCTTATCTAGAAGGCTGGCAGTTCAAACCCACCAGCCACTCCTCAGAAGGAAGGTTGGGCAATCTACTTACATAGTGATACCACTTTAGAAACCCAAGGAGGGGTCACTGTGAGTCGAGTCCGACTTCACAGCAGTGTATTTGGTTTTTTTATCATTCGTATAGGAAAGGCAAGATAATGCTTAATTTTTTTCTCTTGATGTACCAATTCTCACAGCAATGAAGTCATTCACCAGTTCCTCCAGTGATCAATTGGTCATTTAAAAAATATATATCATGGGTTTAAGCAATATAATTTCATTGTTTAAAAAATTTAGTCTGCAAATAGTTTTAATTTTCCTGAATTGAGCTTCTCAAAAAATATTTGCTCTCCTTTGGAAAAGGTGGTTGTCATTAGTGTTCTTGGCTATAAAAGGTTTGCATGGAATGAGGACTAAGACAAGAGATCAAGAAGAGACCACTGTTTCAGGCAAGTGGGTTATTGTTAAATTTCAAGGGTCGATTTTCCTTAGGTAGATGGGGTAGATACAGAGGTTTGCAGTGAGGGCATGCAGAGGCAACTGACATAGATATTCCTTAAATATTTTTTGTGATAAATGAAGAAGCAATGATAGTACTTGTTCTATGAAGGGTCATGGAATCTTGACAGTAACTCCAAAAAGTGGGCATAGTTATCATCTCCATTTACTAGACAACAAAATTGAGACACACAGGTCGAGCAATCCACTCAAGTATACACAGCTAGTAAGCTGTAGAAATTACTTTTCAAACTCAGAGTCTGGCTCCAGAGTCCCTTAAGCAATAGCACAAAGGAAAGAAAGAATCGAAGGAAGACTTTCTTTTGTATGTTTGTTTTTTTATGATAATGGAGATTTAATCATATTTATATATTGAGTCAAAGAAGCCAAGAAGAGAGAATAGCTGACTAATGAGATATATAGGAAACAAACAATAAGGCAACATGTAAGCGGATAAGATTGCTTTTCTTCTGAGCCTCGGAGCCAGTTAGCCAGTTTCATGGTCTCATGTTTTTCCTCTGGATCTTGATTGGAAAACAGAAGACAGGTCTCTCCAAGGTCCTAGGCATGGCAGGGAGTGGTGACGGGGAAAAGTTTGAAGACAAGGAAAATACTATTCCCCATCTAACCTCAGGGTAAAGATTCTACAAGTTAAACAATCTTTCTACAGGTAAGACTGACCACCTTTTGGAATAACTCCAGTGTGTTATTACCGTGCAGTCTTCTGTCTTTATTTTGTCCACCTTCACCTGAATTCCTTTCTGTTCCCCCATGGGGGTATGGGCCAGCATAAAAGGGTAGAAAGAGTTTGGGGTTGGATGCATTAGTTTCCTTTTGTTGCTATGAAAAGTTCACTACAAACTTAGTGGCTCAAAGCAACACAAATTTATCTTTCAGTTTTGGAGGTTATGAATCCAAAATGGGTTCACTAGACTGAAATCAAGGTGTTAGCAAGATTGTGACCCTTGGGGAGATTCCGTGGGAGAACCTGCTTCCTTGCCTTTCTAGTTTACGTTGGCTGCGTGCTTCCCTTGGCTTGTAGTGCTACATCACTCTTTTCTGTCATCTCTTAGAAGAAACCTTGTGATCACATTAGGTCCAACCTGGATAATCCAGGATAATCTCTCCATCTCAAGATTCTTAATTTTGTCACATCTGCAAAATTTCTTTGGCTATGTAAGTCACCATATTCACAAATTTCTGAGATTAGGACATGGATATCTTTAAGGGACCATTATACTACCTATCACAGAGGTATCATTATGGCCATTGGGTTCCCAAAAGAGGAGCACCAGTGTTCCTCTTCTGAATCTGCTTTGAAAAATCTGGATGGATATACTTTGGAAAAGTGTGGGAACACATTCTACAGAAACAGAATGGGGATGTAATTTGCATGTAGGTTGACAGCGAGGCCCTTTAAGGTGAATTGAGAAGAGGTTTTTTTCTAAGGAGCATGGGAGCTCTGGTAGCATAGTGCCTAAGGCACTTGACTGCTAACCAGAAGGCTGGCAGTTCAAACCCACCAGCCACTCCTCGGAAGGAAGATGGGCAATCTACCGTAGTGATACTGCCTCGGAAACCCAAGGTGGGGTCGCTATGAGTCGGGTCCGACTCGACGGCACATAACAACAACAACAACAACAACATGAATGAGCAGGTTGAAGGTTTGAGAAGGGTGGTGAAAGCTGTGTTGGAAGTAGGAAAGTTGCCAACTAAGGTGGAAAAAGTTGATTCCCCAAGGGCTTCTCTGAGATGAGAACACAGTTATCTGAGTTAGATGTGTGCTCTGAGGTCACGCCAATTACCAGAGGGGCCTCAAACCATGTGCATAAAGATGACACTAACCACAGTTCTAAAATATCCCTCTAAACTCGGATTTCACATTTTACGAGTAAACCAAGCAAAGACTCTGGAATCAAAGTGTTCCTACCATCTCCAGTTTGCTATGCCATTGTTTTTCTTTTTCATGAATCCTGTTAAGAAACCTGACACTAATTAGGCTAGCATAAGGAGGGAAAAAGGGAAGATGAATCATAAACCACACTGGAAATAAACCAAGAAATAAGAAAAACTGAACTCTGACCCAAAAACCACAATCGTGAAAAATTGCACTAGCAAAGGGGCTATTATAGACTCACAGTTTCAATTTTTAAAAAGACAAAACATGCAGGATCTGATAAGATCTATCAGCTGCTTCTCTTTTCTAAGACATTTTCCCAAGAGACAGCTACTGAAGCTTGGGTGTTATTTCTCTTTGCTGTGTCATAGGATGTTCCTTTCCCCACCCCCTCCCACCCTCTGCCAGTGCCCAAGTGTGTGTGTGTGTGTGTGTGTGTGTGTGTGTGTGTCTTTGGTTCCTCTCTTCCTGGGAAGAACAGGGCCTGGCCTGTCTCCTGTTGTCCCTGCTGCCCTGACTTGTTCTTTGCTGCCTTTTTCTTCTCCTTTCTCTCTCTGCTAGGCTTCTTGCCTTCTGGTAAGTATGACAAACATTCCCCCAAGCCCTGTGAGGAGACGCAGAGTGCAGTTTGTGGTATTCGAAACTTGTAACGTTGAGACTGCCAGTGAACTGTTAAAGAACTTTCCATTGTTTTATTTATAATTAAAATGTGTTGCTCAGGAAGGGATGTGCAGATAATGATCTGCTGGGACTGCCAGTACAAGTGAAGAATTCTCTCAGGGGAAAAACAACAACAAAAGAAGTAGGCAGTGAAGTTTATATACGATGAAATTTAGAAATTTTTTTGGGGGGGCTATAAAATTTATTAGGAAAGGGACAATTTAAAAGTAACAGAGTGCCTTTGCCTGTTTTTTTTTTTTCCTGTTGTTGATTTATCTTGAGGCTACTTTTAGGAATTGTGTTGCCTTATAGTTTGCAGTGACTCAGTTGTTCTGTTTTAAAGTAAATGTGGAACAGGAATTGAAGTATAGTCATGGAATCAAGCATAAAAATACAGCAATGATGAACGTTGCTCTTTATTCATTAGAAGAAAGACCAAATCTATACAAATAGAGCACTTGCATTTAGACTAACCACATTCAAACTCCTACAAACTCAGGCTTTTAATTAATTGCTTTGATGTTTGGATTACTTTCAATTTAATTTCATTCTAAAATAACCTCCCTAACACTTTAAAACCCACATGACTTAAGCCCGTAAATGCTTCCTGTTTTCAATTGATTTTAAAATTATTCTCTTTCCTTGATTTTCAAGGATAAAGTGCTAAACATCATGACTCCTTTTAGAAGAGCTTAAAATAACTCCTGGCTGGATAGCAGGTGCCATGTGTCTTTCTCCAAATTCAAGGGTGGGGGTGGAGTGGCAGGCCTAAGTTATTTATAAACGCGTGTGCCCAACAAGGAGAGGTCAGGATCAAGAAAAGTTCTGTGATGAAGACCATGAAGCTGTTTACTGCATCACTTGGTAATAGAATTGGTGAATTCGAATGAGTGAAAGTTAGTAAGTACCTGGTGAGCACCACAAGGTGGGTGGCAAAATGCGTATGTTGAACTTTCCATTCTTGGTGGCGCCCAAGCCTTTGACATCTACTGCCCTGAGAACAGGAAAAGGAAGCTATCTGGTGCAGTATGTTTTCTGTTTCATGCCACCACGGCAGCAAAACCTACATATTTTGAGAATCCTGCCATATTTTAATGCTGCTACTTAGCAATCTCACCATTAAATATCATTTGCAAATAAAATGCACCATAGCTGAAAGATATCCACTGCACATTCAGTCAGAAACTCTAGAATCTTTGACTCATTTTTCCCTCCCCCCTATTTCCTACAATCCCAGGTTATATCTGGATTACTTCCCTACTCTATCTCTTCCCTGTTCATTAAATATTGCTATTTCCTAAAATTACATAACGTATCCTAGTGCTTCTTGACTGAATAGAGAAAGCTGCGATGTTTTTTCGTAAAAGAAAGTCATTATATTTTATATCGGGACATGAGCATCATTATGTTTCCATACAAGTTGGTATTTATTGATACCTTCCTTCATTCTCTGCATTATTCCAAAAATGATGCTAATTTGAACTTCAGCAAAAGTGTTTGATGATTGATAATTATGTGCTACTTATCCAGGAAAAAGAAAATACCAGAAAAGCAAGAAAGTATATATCCAGTATAATCCTGCATTTATATCCAACTATTCATATTAATCAAATTTTGATTTATGGGTAAAAATAGAACTTAAGGATGAAATTGTTATAAATGATCTTTAATAGGTCCAATGGCTCTTATATTAAATGTTTTGATTTTGAAAGAAAACTAATACCATTTTCAACAGAAATATTTTAAATCCATACATCCATTTACTTTGAGTGATTGTGAATCTACATAGAATTTATAAGAGAATAACAACCACAAATTTATTATTCCAAGCAAAGTGACAAATATGGTCATGAAAAACAATAGCATGAAATACTCTTTTAATGTTAATAATAGGGAACGCTATTGATATTTAAAGACCAAAACCAAAAATATCCTGGTGATATGACTTGATTTGGAAAATGACTTCCAGCTATTCCTACCTTACTAACTGTAGTGTCAATGGTTCATGAAAATACATTCATTCTATGTCAGAAAGAATAATTAGTAGACGCTCATTTGGGGATATCCTTACTACTTACATGCAACCGGGTTATATGTACATTAAACCTAACTGTTTCTCATTAGATACTACTTGAAGTATGGAGACTAATCAACCTGTACAGCTCTCATCGGAAGCACAGCCAACCCCTCCAGGGGAGAGCTCCTCATCATTACCCAGTCAAAATGGCGTGGGGATGACAGATGGCCAGGATTCCCCAACTTTTCTCCAAGCATCAGAGAAAGAGGCAAGTGTGCAGCCTGAGAAAGGAGCTCATGATATCTCTGAAGAGTTGAATCGACAACTGGAAGACATTATAAACACATACGGGTCTGCTGTGGGCACAGCAGGGAAAGAGGATCCTGACAGTGCCAAGGAGCAGGCTGAGAATGCAGAATTGCCCAGCAATGAGGATGGGGACTGTGAGGAGACCACAGAAGTGACTGAAAGGGAGCCCACTGCTCCTGGAGAGCCATCTGCAGCCAAAGAGCCTATCAGCAATAAAGAGCAGAAACTGGAAAAGAAAATACTAAAAGGATTAGGCAAGTAGCTGTGTTCTAATATTTGAATTTTCTTTCTTTCAAACCTTTATAACAAAGGGGACTTCCTCTAACCTTTACTAAAAAGCCACATTCAGATATGTCTACCATTTGGATTGCGGCAATAGCTTCTTTCAAGTTCTCCCTGCGTTTTCTCTTGCTGTACTTGCCCCCAGCCCCTTCCCCTCACTACAGCCTAAGTGAACCCACCTACCCTCTCTCTTCAATGGCCCCTCAATGCTCTTAGGATAAAGATCTAAGCACTTAACATGGTCTTTAAGGCTCAAATGCTCTAACCCTAGCTTTATCTTACATCGCTCTACCCCACAACATCCCCATCCTGAACACTGTCCCTATCACCGCCACCACCAGCTTCTACTATTGTCAGTCTGATTCTTCTTTTACAGTTCTTTGAGCATGCCATGCTCCATCCCCCATAAGGTCTGTGCACACTCTGTTTTCTTTGCTTAGGAATATCTACCTCCTCTCCATCACTACATCCAATTCAGCCTTCTGGGTCCTTAACTCCTACTCATCACTTAATTCACAACTCAGATGGTATTTTCTTAATGCAATCCGAGATAAACTCTCGTTGTTGTTGTTGTTGTTATGTGCCGTCAAGTCGGCCCCGACTCATAGCGACCCCTCCTTGGGTTTCCGAGGCAGTATCACTGCGGAAGTAGGATTGCCCAACCTTCCTTCCGAGGACTGGCTGGTGGGTTTGAACTGCCAGCCTTCTGGTTAGCAGTCAAGTGCTTTAGCCACTATGCTACCAGAGCTCCCAGATAAACTCTTACTATTTTGTATTTTTAATGCACCATGTATTTTCTTTCATAGCACTTCTCAGTGTTTGAAATCACACATTTATTCTGTAATTATTTGGTTAATGTGTGTCTTCCTCCACCAGATCTTTTATCTCAAGGGCAGAGACAGTATGTGTATTTGTACACCATTGGATGCTTAGTGCCTAGGACAGTGAATGGCACATACTAGGTTTTCAACAAATATTTGTTACAAGAATGAATGAACAATTTTTCTAGAGAAAGAAAAACACCCCATCTCTCTAATTCTGGCACTATCTACAAGTTATGAAATTTTAACTGAGTGTGTTTGACCAGAACCAATGTTTGTGAATCTGAGTGCCTTGGTGAACCCACTCTAATTACATGAGTGTAGGCTGCTGGCCTCTCCATGGCATTCTACTGAACACCCTTAGCATATTCTTCTAAACACTGTATTATTTAAACTGCATTATGAGCTACAACAATATTTTTAGGCTAACCTAAACATACAACCACCAAAGTAAACATTCTTTCAATTGTTTGCAAGGGGTTTTAGCAGGCTTCTTGCTTAGTTAGCAATGAATTGGCACTGCACTAACATCTAGACCAATGCTGTAGATGCTTCACTGTGCATTTAGAATCAAGTGCAGAATTTGTCAAAGTTGCTGTTTGCAAACCCCACATACAGAGATCCAGAACTGGTGATCTGGAGTGGGGCCAGGCACTCTGGGTAATTTTGACATAAATGGAAGATTGTGGAAGCAATGATTTTGATGCTTCAGAAAGTGCTTCCTTGATTCTTTTGGAGCAAATATATAAAGTATCGGCTGCGGTCTTGTCTTTATAATCTATCTGGATGTTTCATAGAATTTAGCAAGTAGTTCATTCCTTACTTGAAGATATATCCTTAAAATTTGCTTATGCACATGATCAAAGAAGAGTCTTTAATTATTGAATGTTTGTCAGATAATACTTCCTTAGCTAGTATTTACAAGATGCTGAAATTTTCTTATTCTCTAGTTCACAATTTTCCAAAGTGTTGTACTTTGGGTTCTTGGAGGTTTCAGACAAAGTTATATAGTTTTTTCACTACCCAAATTCTCAGACCTTTTATATATATTCAATGAAAATCTCCATAGTGCTAGTTATAGTTTACAGAATTCCCTAAACTTATTGGACAACAAGACCCTTTAGTGATAGAACATTTGGAATATTTAGGAAATGTCTCTACAACACAAGTGCTCAGAACCTGTTTTTCTTTTAGAGGCTGCATAATTTTCCACAACCAACATGCTACACATTGGAACAGGTGGGAAAAACATTTTTAAAATCTCTTTAGCTAGTACAATCATTTTCTCCTTGGCATCAGAGTTGAAACAAAAATGGATTCCCATTAGACAGCATCCTATTAATAACGGAAGCATCCCTCTTGCCTTCCCTTTCCCTCTACCCTAGGCTCACAAGTGTCTCATTAAATACATCTTTGCCAACATTAGGAGCTCTGCACAAGCACCATATATGATAAAACCATGATAAAATATAAATGCCAGTAACCAGCCGCCGTTGAATCAGGTCCAACTCATGGCAACCCCAGGAGTTTCAGAGTAGAAGTGTACTCCACAGGGTTTTCAACGGTTATGATCTTTCGGAAGTGAATCACCAGGCCTTTCTTCCAAGATGCCTCTTAGTGGAATATACCTTTTGACACTGATGTTGATGACTGATTAATTAGGAAGTCATAAGCTCAAAGGATAAACCTAGGAGAAAAACAAGGCTGATCAACAAGTCCATTCTATCCCATGAGAGAAGTCATAAAGACCCAAGGTCAGACTTGAAGTTACTAATATTATGAGACAGAAGTACACAGAAACAACTGGAATAAAGTTCATGGATTTCATATTTCTCCTCACAGGTGAGGTTCAGTTCTACCCGCTGAACGGTGCCTTGATTAGGCTGTGTTATTTTGAGGCATCTTCAGACATTCATTTATCTACTCTTCTTTAGAGAGCACTTTCCCAGATGATCTGTTTCATCCATTTTAGTTTGATTCTTAGTTTCACTCTGAGAGGGTACTAACCTGTTGTTTTGATACAAATGCTAGATTTTATGGAAGAGACAGCTGGAGACCAAAAGAATTCAAGTGAAAGAGGAATCCACAGAGACTGAAAATTCTAGAGTAGATGCCTAGGGAATTGAGAATTTAGGCCAGATTCTGAAAGAGAGGTGGGGTTGGAGAAGTAGATGGAAGGGAAGAGAAAGATTAGCACTCTCTTCTGCTAGGGCAGAGAATGTGTTATTAAAATGTACCTGCTCCCTCTGATATTTTTCTTTTTTATTGTAAGATTTTGTTTTCTCTGAAATAATTTCCTCATTATTGTTGTCAGTCAACCCCAAAATCATGGTGACCTCATGTACAATGAAATAAAACATTATCCAGTCATACACCATCCCTATTAACAGTTGGGAACCTGTTGTGATTCATAGGGTTTTCTTTGGCTGATTTTCAGAAGTAGATCATCAGGCCTTTCTTCATAGTCCATCTTAGTCAAGAAACTCTGCTGAGAACTGTTAAGCATCATAGCCAACGCATAAGCTGTCACTGAAAGATGACTGACAGCTCTATACAAGGTGCATTGGCAGAAACTGAACCCAGGTCCCCTGCATGGAAGGCAAGAATTCTACAACTAAAGCACCAATGCCTCCCTCATTATTAGACTCCTTGAGTTATTTTTTTGTTTTGTTTTGTTTCTTTTTTTAACAAAATAGTCTTTATAGTTATAACCAAGAAATGTCTAATAGTTTAAACACATTATCAACTGGCCTAATAAGAAGTCTGGGTCCAATTCCCAAATGAGTGAGAAGCCAAAGTCCCGAGTGTCACTAAAATACAAACAATATAAAATATTAGCTAAATGGAAAGCAATTTGACCAGAAAACATAATATTTTCAAGACTGATAGATGCATTTTAAAAAAAAGAAGAAGAAAAAAAACACCTTGGGACCAAGTTGATTTTGAATCATGGCACCCCCATGTGTTATAGACTAGAACTGCTCCATAGGGTTTTCTTGGCTGTAATCTTGACAGAAGATCACCAGCCCTTACTTCCACATTACTTCTGGGTAGGTTTGAATGGCCAACTGCCAACCTTTTAGTTAGTACTTGAGTGCAGACTGTCTGTGTCACCAGCGACCTGGAGAGAGGCATTACAACCAAGTTAAACAACAAACAGTAAGGGGAAAGAGAATCTTTACAAATCTAAAAAGTGGACCAAACATTTTAGGAAGAAAAATATACCACCAAAACAATGTTAACTTATGTTGTTTTTGTTATTTAAATCAAGCTAAAATGGCTAATGATATCTTTGTCATGGAACCTTCGAATCTTAAACGCTGAACTTAGAATCTACTGTGTCAATCTACTAGCCTTATAATCCGGGATATTGAGGCCCAGAGAACTTACAAGCCTTCCAAAAATGTTACTCAACTAGCTCATGGTGGAGTCAGTTTTAGAACCCAGGTCCCAATCTTTTTTCTCTTGAAAGATATAGATAGATCTTTAGGAAATATTTTTATCGCACTCTGTATTTTTAAATTGTGTTAAAAGGAACACAAAACTAACATTGAAATATGAACCTGGGTCTAACACTTAAAATAGAACATTCTCAATCTTTCCCTTTTTTAAGTTTCTGCCACAACACGTGGAAATTATGATGGGGAAGAAAGGCACATAACAGAGAAACAAGAAGAAACTTTAGCCCCAAAGCCCTAAAAAACAGTTTTGGAAGAGAAAGTACATATTTTGGAACACTCATTAAATCTGCATAAATTGTCACCAAACTTAGTGTAAACAATCAACCCTCATGCTAGACGTTTCCGAAAACTCCTAATGCACATGTCTACAGTGGCTGTAGTTGTCTTCATTTAAGTTTACTGATTTTTTTATATAAACATAATTCCTTCGTAGTCCAATATTCCTTCAGTCTCCATCTGTGCCAGTGACCACAACATCTCTGACATGCTGCTCTTGCTGCACAGGGGGTTCGGCTCTCACATAGACTTACTACCAAGCTGAGCACTTGGCAGTACGGTGGCCATATGCCCGCCACAGGCCTTCCCCAACTTTAATGGGAAAGAAACGAGGTTGGCTTTGGAATGACACTTTGATGAGAACACAGTTGATCCCCTCCTGATAAAGTGTCCCTGAATGAGGCTGGTTTTCCTCTTGTGTCTGGCACTGTGACTAAGTGACCTCACTTTCATGGAGCTGTGATTATAGACTTTCTTACAAGATGAGCAGTGTCTTTGTCTGTTTCCTTCCTCCACAATAATTCCACATAGCACCTATAGTCCAGCAAATTCAATGGATGCTTAAAGAATAACTCTCTGATGTCACAAGTTTTTGAGTTCCGCACATACCTGTTTCCAATTACTTGGCTTTTTTGTTGAAGACAAAATTAATTTTTGAAGGATAGGCTGGCGGTTCAAATCCACCAGCCACTCCTTGGAAGGAAGGTTGGGCATTCCTACTTCCGTAGTGATACTGCCTCGGAAACCCAAGGAGGGGTCGCTATGAGTCGGGGCCGACTAGATGGCAAATAACAACAACAACAGGTTGATACATGTGAATATTAACCTTCTATACAAAAATAACAGAATATTGTAGCAAAAAAGAGGCTTTCGTAAGTGTTAAGATTAAAATAAAACAAAACCCTCTTCTCATAGGTAAGGAAACAGAACCTAGGCAAAGAATAGTTAATTCAGGAAGAGAGACCCATTGGACTCAATGAATTGTTTCTCTCTCCAGCAAACCAGACATGTGATGGTTTCTGTGGCTGGACTCACACTGAAAGGTATCTTAGTACATTTTTAATGTCACAGGTGAGAGGGAGACCAGTCTTTCCTCTGCTTGGTCACAAAGTGTTATTCAGAATTGTATTAAATTCATTGACTTGATTCAAGTTTGTGCTAGTTGGCTTTGTTTTGTTACATTATTATCAGCATTCACTGAACACTTACCATGGCCAAATATTGTGCTAGACCCTGGGTCCAAACTGGTAACAGTAAGGTCTCTTGACTTTAATAAATGATCTCTAATCCAGGACAGGAGTTCTGGTGATGCACTGATTAAGGCATTCAGCTGCTAACCAAAAGGTCAACAGTTTGAACCCACCAGCCTCTCCATGGGAAAACGGTGAGGCAGACAGCTTCTGTAAAGATGTACAGCCTTGGAAACCCTATGGGCAATTCAACTCTGGCTACAGGATCAGAACTGACTTGATGGCAGTGGGTTTGGTTGCTTTTGGTAACCTAGGACAGCAGTCTTCATGTGCGCATCTTCCACAAATGGAAAAGCAAAGAATTCACTTAGGCAATGCAAAATGATCCCTGCTCCAACAGGGATAACGCAGCCCAGCTGGGGTGGAGCCCCAGTGGATATCAGCTGCAAAGGGCAACACATTAGGCCACGGTTTATAATTGGAGAGCTGATAGAGGAACTGATGGTACTCACCTTCTCCCGTCTTAGGCTGTCTATAATTTGAACTGACTCACTGAGCAAACATAGGCCAAAACAACTGTTAGAAATGAGGTCATTTTCTTAAAAAGAAAAAAAAAAAAAAAGCTTCCCTTCATTTCTCTAGGTTTTCCTGATTTCAAAATTCTACCAGGAGTGGAGTCGTTTAGGGCAGGTGACTGACTTTGGATTCAAGCCTTGGCTCTGCCAGCACAAACTATGTAAACGTGGATTTCTCTGCACCTTAGGTTATTGATATTTAAAATTAACCAGTCAGTCTGGATGCTCTTTGAAGTCCCTTTCATACCTAAACTTTGATTCCACATCGATTTCCAGATTTAGCAAAAATACAGGATAATAAGTTAAATTTGAATTTCAGATAAACAATGAATATGTTTTAGTGTTTAAGTATGTTTTACTCAATATTTGGGACATATTTGTAATTTAAAAAAATTACTCATTGTCTTCCTGAAATTTGAATTTAACTGGACTGTTGTATATCCTGCAGCAACCACAATTCCATGGCATATCTGCCTCTCCAGGAGAAAAATAAATATTACAGCAAAGAGGAAATACTTATTCTCGAGGAAAAGGTTATCGAAATTGTTAATATTCTTAAGCAGAATTACATCAGGAAACATGGGTTCTGCCACAAGGCCTACTGTTTGACCTCCCTACATTGATTACACAGAATGGGTGTCACAGCTGGTGAGGAGGGGGGAAGACTCCAGAGTGCCACTCCTCCTTCCCAACACTCAGCCCAATGGGTACATAAAGTTAGGGTTTCCAGGCACAACAGAAAAGCAAACAGGGCAATCTGAGCTGAAAAAGACAAAAGGAAGAATAATAGAGAAATAAAAGAATAAAACTGAGATTACTCTTTGTGGTAGTTCAGTTTGTGTGTCAGCTTGGCTGGGCCTGGTTGAGTGGCTAGGCAGCTGGATGTAGTTATTCCCCATGATGAGACTGGTAATCAACTCCATGGTGGAAACTACTGGAGCAGCTGAGTAGCTGCCTTGGGGATGTGGTCTGCTTCTAGTGTATAAGAAGCAGCTTTGAGAGAGGTCTCTAGTTTTGGGCACACATGGACCCTGCATGTAGCTTTGTCTTTATTTAACAGCCTGCCATGTTTTCTGCTGATTTTGGGACTGTCTTTGTACTTGAACTAGTGGCCTGCTATATTGTTTGGTAATACTGTTACTGTGCCATTTTATTTGTTGACCTTGCACTTGTTAGCCCCAGCAGCCAGCAGCTCCCTGAGTGAAGAGATACCTCTATCTCCAGTGGGCTGGGAGCAAGAGGCAGAGCTAAAGTCTAAGGTCGAGGGGCTTTCACTCAGACCCTAGAGCCTGGAATTTTGAACTCAGACTTCTAGCCTCCAAAACTGTAAGAGAATAAACTCCTGTTTGTTAAAGCCATCCACCTGTGGTATTTCTGTTAGAGTGCCATGAAGTAACCAAAACACTGTTAAATAATAATTTAGGTGATATTATGGTTTGAATTGTGTCCCCTCCAAAAGATATGTTGAAATTCTAATGCCCTGGTACCTATGAATGTGACCTTGTTTAGAAATGGGGCCTTTGGAGATGTTTTCAGCTAAGATAACATGAGGTCATATTGGAGCAGGGTGATCTTATTCCAATATGGGTGATTTTCTTATGAAAGGGGAAAAGAGACACAAAGGGAGACAGAGGCTGGGATTTGAAGCCATGTGTCTACAAGTCAAGGAAAACCAAAGATCTCTGGCTGTCATTAGAAGCTAGGAGAGAGACATGGAACAGATTCTTCCTCAGAACCCTTAAAATGAATCAATATGGCCAACACATCACTTTTAGACTCCCAGCCTCCAGAATTGTGACACAGTAAGCCACCCAATCTGTAGTACTCTGTGACAGCAGCCTGGGAAACTAATATGAATGAGTTTAAAAATACAGTGTAAACTCCAGCTAGGGACACAAAATGAAACTGCTAATAGACTTTAAGACCTAGGTGGGGAAAATGAATACCTGAAAGGGCTAGAGCCCCAAACAGAGAGACACAAGGGCCCTCCACATCTTGGGTCTGTTCTCCATCTACATCAATTTTGTTCTCTGTTTGGTAGGAAATATGGTCAGGGTTAATCCCACGCAAAAAGAATGGGTTTATGTACAGAAATGAAAGAATCAGTTTGCAAAAGAGAGGTAAGAGATACTAGACCAAAAAACCACAGAAAAAAAATGGGCAAACCAAACTATCCAATTTCTTTGTCTCTGACTGGAATTCTAGTTACTCTAGTGCAACACTGGCCATTACATGCTAATCAGAAATTTTGATTATGTTTACTATTATTGTTTAGGAAAATAGGTGTTGTGTTCTGATACTTTGTCATGCTGTGGTGGCTTGCACGTTGTTGTGATGCTGGCAGCTATGCCACTGGTATCTCAAATAACACCAAGGTCACCTACGGTGGACAGATTTCAACAAATTTTCCAGACTAAGACAGACTAGGAAGAAAAGCCAGCAATCTCCTTCCAAAAGTTAGCAGATGGAAACCTTATGGGTAGCAATGAACTGTGAGGCTGGCAAAGAATATTGAGTATACCATGGACTACCAGAGGAACAAATGAATCAGCATTAGAAGAAATAAAGTTGGAATGGTGCTTTGAAGCAAACATGGTGAAACTTCATCTTGCTCACTTTGGGCACATACATCATCAGAAAAGATTGGTCCCTAAAAAAGGCCATCATGTTTGGTAAAGGAGAGAATCAGCCAAAATGAGGGAAACCTTCAATGAGATGGATTAATACAACAGCCAAGACAATGGGCTCAAGCATATCAAAGATAATGAAGATGGCTCAAGATGGGGCAATAATATTTCATTCTGTTACACAAAAGTTTGCCATGAGTCAGAGCTGACTTGATGGCAACTAACAACAACAAAAACAACTTGAACATGTGGATTCTTGGGATAAAATTTTGGAGATTACTGTTGCAGTAGGCATTAACTACAAATCTATCATGAGCCTCGACACTGTACTACATATTTTTCCAAACATCTCAGCTAATTCTCACTTACTCTGTAAGGTAGACGGCATCTATTTTTACAGAAAGAAAGAATTGTATCTGAGGCTCCAATAGTTTAAGTGGCTCAGCCTAGGTTGGGTAATAACAAGTGATGAGTCAACCTGAGATTCTAGCCCAGATCGTGTGACTGAAAGTTCAATGCTTATTTATAAAAATGTCTTTGTTTTTTTTTAAGGCAAAGAAGCCAACCTCCTAATGCAAAATCTGAACAAGTTGCACACACCTGAAGAAAAGCTTGATTTTTTATTCAAGAAGTATGTGGAGTTGGTAAGATCTTTGACTGTCTCTTAACGTAAGAAAGACACATGCTGTGGTTTGAGCTCAGAAAAGGGGACCATTAGTTCTTCATGTACATCCTTTCTAGCCCATGGTTGGGTACCTCAAAGAAACCAAGTCTAGAATTCATAAAAGTTGAAGTCTTTTTTTCAAAAAAGGAAAAGACAAACTGAAGGGTAACAGCAAAAAGGAAAAAGAGGGTTAGAACTAGAGGGTACTCTATCTTCAATTATGTGTATAATTTTAGAGGTAGGAGAGAAAAAAACAAAAAAATATAATAACCCACTGTCATCAAGTAATTCCACCTCACAGCGATCCTATAGTCACTAGGAGTAGAACTGCCCCAATAGGGTTTCCAAGGCTGTAAATGTTTTTAGAACCAGACTGCCTCATCTTTCTCTCACAGAGTGGCTGGTAGGTTTGAACCATGCATCTTTTAGTTAGCAGCCAAATACATTAACCACTATGCTATCAGAGATCCTCAGGACAGACAAGTATAGATAATTTAAAATTGTGGCTCTTTCAAAGCTCCTTTTAGCCTTCCAATAGAACAGAAATACACTTGACATAATGACAAACAAATCTTCCAATTCAGTTCTTGTAACCAAGTTTTTGAGGGAGCCCCTCCAGAAGGCAGAAGGTTGAGTTAATCCCACCCTTCATTTTGGGACACATTCTCATCAGGTCTGGCCAACTGACTGATTGATTGATTGATCCTCTTTGATTGATATCTTGTTTCCTTCCCTCACTACTGCAAAATGCTTGACATGGGTTATTTCGTGCCTGGTTCTGGGTCCTGCCTCTCAATAATTTAGGACCACAGGGAGCAAGGGAAGACATTGCCAGTCACCAGAGACTCCATGAAGTGGACTGTCCACTCACCAGTACTTTAGAATTGGCCAGCTAGAGAACAGGGAAGGGTTTAGTACAACTAGCATCTCTGCTTTCAAATGAGCTCTCACACCCACCTGCTGATGTGAAGATGAAACAAAACCAAAAATGGGACTTCTAAAGTCTGTGTGCTACCCTGGGAATATTTGAGTCCCCAGATGGGAGACGGCATAATTCTAGTAAATTTAGGCAGTTTGCTCCTCTTTCATTTCTGCTTCTACCCTTAAAAAAAAAATTCCCTTATTTACTTCTTTTGGAGAAGCAAGGAGCTCTGCTAGGGCAGTGGTTAATGCATCAGACCGCTAAACAAAAGGCCAGGGTTGGAACCCAGCACCTGCTCTGCAGGGGAAGATGAGCAGTCTGCTTCCACAAAGATTTATGGAAACCAAACCCTATGGGTTGTAATCAATTGGATGGAAGTGGGTTTGGTTTGCATTTTTGGCTTTGGGGAAGTAGTGACAGGAAAATGAAATTTAAGTTCATACATAGAAAAAAAAAAACCTCTTCCTGTCGTAGGTTGATCTATCCTGGAAGATGCATGGGCTCCTTCTGAAATCCTGGAACTAATTTTCTATTGTCAATTTTGTCCAAAACTGAATAAACTCAGGTCCGCAAACACATCAGGTCCCTGCTTACATCTTATCCCTGTGGAGAGAGTAGAGTTAAATGAGTGACTCATTTGCTTTGTTTTCCCCTCTTATTTTAGGCCTGTGGGGTTCTGATGGCACAGTGGTTAAGGCATTCAGCCTCTAACCAAAAGGTGGGTAGTTAGAACCCACCAGCCACTCCGTGGGAGAGAGATGAGGCAGTCTGCTTCTGTAAAGATTTACAGCCTTGGCAACCATAGGGGGCAGTTCTACTCTGTCCTGTAGGGTCACTCTGAGTCGAACCGACTGGATGGCACAGGGTTGTTTCAGTTTTAGTCCTGCAATCCCGTTTGTTCTGCCTCACTCCCTTCCTTCCTTCCATCTTGTGGCATCTGTAGTGCTAAACTGACATGCAGTAAATCCAAAAAGATTCTGAAGCTACAAGTGACTGGCTGATTGCTCATTTTCACCAACAATACTTTAAAATTATTTTTTAATCACGCAAACTACATTATAATGATCTAAGAAGAATGCTGAATACATGAAGCAAAATTACGTATAATTCCACTATCTAAATCATGAACTTAAATTCATGTTCCTTTCCTGTTCTGCTGTGTATGCAAAGATAATTTTTATTATAATTATCATCATAAAGTACATACAAATTTGGGATCTGGGGTTTTGGGTTCATATTACACACATTTTCCCACGTAATTCATGGTCTTCATAATTATATCTCATAAAACCTGTCATATTCCATTAAGTGGAATATATCCACTGGTTCTCTAATTTGAGTACATTTAAATTCCTCCCACTGTTTGCTTTACCAAATATTGCTGCAGTGAACATCATCACACACAGAGTTGTTCTTCTCCTCTGTTATGACCTTAGGGAAAAGTTCTAGAAATGGGACTAGGAAATTAAACGGTATGAATACTTTTTGGTTTTAAAACTTTATGGCCCTGTTTCTTTCTAAAAGAGTGGTAGAAATTTACAAAGCAAGTAGTAGTGTAGCAGTTGTATTGCAACTTGCTGTTGCTGTTGTTACATGCCATCAAGTCGGACCTGACTCATAGCAACCCCTCCTTGGGTTTTCGAGGCGGTATCACTGCAGAAGTAGATTGTCCAACCTTCCTTCTGAGGAGTGGCTGGTGGGTTTGAACTGCCAGCCTTCTGGTTAGCAGTCAAGTGCCTTAGGCACTAGGCTACCAGAGCTCCTGGCTATTATTCATCTATTAGCTATTTTGATGGCAGAAAATAAATTAGGTATCAGAATAATATCTTTCCCCCAAAATTTGGTCTCCCACTCTCATCTATGCATCCTTGCTTTTATCAATATTTCCACATCATTTCCCTTTGGTTCTTTCCACTTCTCTCCTCATTCCAAGGCCATTCACATTTAGTTTCTAGTGATGTGTTCTGTACTCGGCTGGACTCAGAAGCATTCTGGACTAGCATGGGAAGCCATTTATGGCACTGCAGCCCCCACAGGAGTTCACTGGAGTAGAATCACTTCTCTAGTCTGTCCAAGATTTCCTCCATGGTCCAGGGCTGCACCCACTCACACCCCAGCAAAGCAGTCACCCTCATAGATGTTAATTTTCAAGAAATCCTATTCTATTCAATCCTAATTTACTATACTTTGGCATTTGTGTTGTGTCCTGTAATAAACTTTAAGACTCCAAAGATCATTCTAGAAAAAATAACAGAACATTTTGACCAGAAATTAATTAATTAATTACATTTCCTTTTCAGATAGGAAAAAATATAAGGAATTTCACTTTTTAGCATAGAGACCAAAACCTATTTCTCTGCCCACTGATCTGGATACTAACAGAAAATGTCTGGAACACAAGTTTTAACATAGAATGAATCATCAGATTCAAAGCTGTGAATCAAACCGCCATTCTAGTTCACTCATCCTTACAGAATCTGAATCCTGTAATATTATCTCCTATTTTAGTCATTAATAACTAATGATAGGTTAATTAGTTAACAAGAACATCTTATGACTAAATTAAGAAATGATCTGGGAGAATTTTTTTTTTTTTAAATTTCCTTAACTTCAACATAGTTAAAACAACATCACAAGCATTATTTTAATTTGGTACTAGTACTTGGCATTAATTTTACTTTTTTTACTTACTAGGAAGCAAGAGAAACTGTAGATAAAAACCGTGTATGAGTGTCACAACTGTACAGAAGAGCCACGTCTGAGCTCATTATTAAACCACAAAGCCAGCATTTGGCTAAAAGTTGACTCTGTTGCAAAATATTTGTTCTCATTAAGAAACCCCATACACGGCCAACAAACACATGAAGAAATGTTCATGATCATTAGCCATTAGAGAGATGCAAATCAACACAACAATGAGATACTATCTTGCCCCAACACTAGTAGCAAAGTTCAACAAGATAGAAAATAACAAACGCTGGCAAGGATATGGAGAGATTAGGACTCTCCTGCACTGCTGGTAGGACTGTAAAATGGTACAACTGCTGTGGAAAGCAGTATGGCAATTCCTTCAAAAACTGGAATTAGAAATACCATTTGATCCAGCCATTCCATTACTAGGTATATATCCTAAAGAAGTGAGAGCCATGACAAGAACAGACATATGCACACCCATGTTCATTGCAGCACTA